CGATTCCATTCTTCGACAGCCTGTTGTGCTACAACCAGGTAAAAGACATACAGCCAGATTGCACTTTACCCCGTTGTCACCCCCATCAAACTGTATTGCGATTACACACATACCATGGCTACGGAGAAAGCTGCCTGTTATCCCAAGTGCCGAGGGTGTTGCGTATATGCTCCACCACGAATCGTGTAAGTGTAGTCGTGTTAGTCTTCTTTTCCGTGCGAACGAATATTCAGAGCACCGAGTGAAGTCTGTCGCCTGTTCTGTGTGTCCTCGATCTAACAACAGAACACGTTGGTGAAAAATCGCAACAAGCTGAGGCTAATAAACTGTGTCGTGTGATACTTCTTTCATAAATGAGAAACCGTGCACATAGGCAGCGTAGACTGATAGTCCTGGATTGAAGCTAATGCTGGTTCGATCAAGCATCGATACCTCAGGGTATCCATCTGCGAGCGAGGTTTGCCACGGATGAGCTTTTGGCTCAAATAAAAATGCAGACGAAAGAAACAGGCATTTGAGGCCGTTTGTAGCGTTTATCCAGGTACATTTTAGGTTAGAAAAACAATGGAAACCTTAGAGACTCGCGTTTGCAGAAAACGTAGAAGCCACTAGGTGAACACATGGTAGCCGGTCACGAGTAAAGGGGATATGGTGCAACAAATACCAACTTTTACGTACATATTTTAACATCAGCAAAACACAAAGCGAATCTCGGAATGTCAAAATTGTTCCACATCCTTAGCTTCCTCCGATGCTGAGCACTCGTACATGGCCCTGGGACTTGGCTTGAGCAACATTGTTCAAGCTATGCAGGGTAAGAAAAAGTTGTTTTCTAGCCGTTGTGATTAAAACTGTCGCCGCATACAAACTTAGGTCCTTATCCGGCCTACAGGTTATTGAAACGTTTCGGCTTTTCTGTGTTTTGAACAGTCCTTGCACAGTACTGTTTATGGGGTTTCAGGACTTGGGGGACTGAATTTCTGCAATGTTCGTGGTATTGGTATGATGTTCTTGAAGGGCGTAGTAATTCATCCTCAGCATAGTACCTCATACAGTTTAGAAGAATGAGGATCTTAAAACAGTCAAACTTCTTTTTTTCTCCATATTACAATTTTGTGTACTCGATCTACGTTTCAGCTCGTAAAAACTTGTCGATATTTGTAGTTTGCCACAACAAATGAAGGAGTTCGCTTCGCGATAAATGATAGCGTTTTTTCACAAGCATTATGAGATCGGAACGAAAGGGTGATTTAATTTTGTACCAAGTCTGAACGCGCGGTAAGTAGGAAAAGTAAGGTTATTACGCAAGTAACATCCACAGGTTTATCAAAGCAATCCGTTGATTTTACGAAAGTGTTTTTGTTTCATCATCATGAGCTTATTCGTCACATCACTGTTGTGCTTTATGACTCGGTCTTATGGGACCAAATCCGTAACCGCAAAACACGGAATAGTAAGATGGTGGCAAAAAACGACGGGTTTCACTCCTGTATATCCCAGTTTTGTATGCGACATACCTGTTAAGACATTGTGTTCCTGTCTATTGGACAGGAGCTTTGGACAATGTCGAACTAAAGTTGGCGTGAAGGGGCTGTTAAGTACATGCAAGATACTGTGTGGCTGAGGACAGCGTGAATCTAGTGGCAATGTGATTATGTATCTGCATGCCAGCAACTCAGGGAAATTCTCTGCATTTTAATAGCTCATAATTCTCATTTTGCCCACAGGCATTTGGGTAGGGAGCGGGGGCTCAAAGAAACATTGGAGGTGGACGTCAGCCAAGTCAGCATCGGGATGGGGCCCGGGCACCCCCGAAAATATACACAGTGACGCCTCTGGGTGGGGATAAAGGACTGCCTTCAAAGGGATGTCATGTGTATCTCAGTATCTAAGCATGATTCATAAACACAAACGTCCCGGCAAATCGCTGCCACATATGACATAATATGTACTACATCACATCTGTCTTCAAAGCGCTGTGCTAGCGTACTCTTTCAAATGTGCGACAGCCATATCCGGCTGTTTACTTTATTTGACAACTTTGTTGCAGACATAATGAAGCCTATTGATATACCGGGGGAAAAAATTGAATGAGCACCCCACGCAATGGAAACTTTGTTTTCAATAACGGCAGTTTCAGATAGTTTTTTCTTCGAACGCCTTCGATTTATGAACTACGGAAATTGGCTGGCATTCATTCCACACAACAGTAATCTGGACAAGCCCATTCTGGCCGGCCGTGGTGCCTGTAATTCTTGAAGATGCGCATACTGATTAAAGGAGAATCCAACCCCCAATGCAGGACGAAGTCAAGCTACAGAGCCAGCAACAGTTGCAATAATAAATAAAAAAACAGAGCAGGCTTGAAAGGCTCAAAACTCAGTATTTTCATCTGGATGGTCAGATGTTTGCTCCCAGCGGCTCCTTTTCGAAGTCACACCTGTGTTGCCCCTTCTCTCCCCAAAACGCAGACCGGCCTACGAGTGCCTCTTGCCGACAAACAAGTAATGCCTGGCATTTTGCTCATACACACATCAAACCATATCTGAAATATATATATATATATATATATATATATATATATATATATATATATATTTGTTTCAGTTCATGTGTAGGACAACATATCTGTAGGTCTTCTGCTAAAGCCTTACTTTTTCTCTTCAGGATTTCTTTTCACAGGCCATTCTCTTTTGCTGCAGTTGGTGATCTACAAGTCGTTCTCTATACCTTTTAAAAATATTTTCTTTCTTAACTGCCTGGTCGTGTAGCTTTATGTTGGAATATTTGGGTAAAATCCTTTCTTTTATACAGGTTCTATTGAAAATAACTACTGACTCAGCATTGACAAGCTTTTTGACGCATCGTTTGAGTTTCCGGGCTTTGGATTTGGCATTATCGCTTAGGTTAAAGATGGTTCGCACAAAATTACTAATATATTCGTCACTCTGTACAATCTAACGTTTCGAGATCCTTTCTCATCGTCGGAAAAAACTGAATGGCACAAAAAATCAGTTTTGAGGTTTAAAGGTAAAAGCTTTCCATTTCTGTTGGAAAGCATCTTTAGGAGCAGAGAACGCAAAGGAAGCCTTGTTAATTTTAATTACTAAAAATAATTACTTATATAAATTACTTACTTAGATTACTTAAATTGCTAATATATTCGTCACTCTGTACAATCTAACGTTTCGAGATCCTTTCTCATCGTCGGAAAAGACTGAATGGCACAAAAAATCACTTTTGAGTTTTAAAGGTAAAAGATTTCCATTTCTATTGGAAAACATCTTTAGGTACAGATAACGCAAAGGAAGCCTGGCTAAATGAAGTCAGACAGAATCCTAGTTTCACTTTGATATCTATAACATACACTCATAATGGGAGCACTACAAGGCAGTTGTAGAAAATCTGCATTACGATGAAGTGCAATTGTATCGTCATAATGACTTTGGCAGGGTCAGCCTATTCAGGGTCGAGGTAGGTCAAAGTTTTATCTTTGTAACTAGATTTGGCTGTTCGTGTCATGCGAGTTCGACATGCACATGTATCTTACGGCCTGGCATGGCCTTGCTAACCATGTCCTTAGCATTCACTGGACTGTATTAGTTATTCGGAAAGTCGAGCGAGACAATACAATACACACTTTTATCTTTTAGCCTAGCATGACATGTCGTAGATTGCTGGTGTCGATCTCCATTAGTGTCCACCTGATCGATTTTTTCAAGAGCTGTTGAATACCTCTTTTCACATTGTCATGTCATCCTTGGTTCGTGAGATTACAGGAGGACTCTACAAAGTGTCAAGCTGATCCCAACTCTTTGTGGTGCACGGACCTGTCCCAAGGAAAAGCACGGCTCCTTCTACCAGTATACGTCAATACTTCAAACCGTTATCAGTAAATATTTACTAGTTAGTTTCCTAGGCCACGTTTGTTATTAGACACCCATAACACCACCAAGCAGTTTAGGTACAGGCACCGAGTTCTGTCGCCACCAAGGCCCGACTTGATGAAAAGCACTCGCTCTAGTACCTTCGGCCGGGCAACCTGCGTCAATGTTCGCTAATGACAGGTAGGATATCTTGAGATAGTTCGTGGTGGGCCAAAACCTGGGCGTTTGACCTAACTTAGCCTAAAACGACCACGTGTACTTGCCTTTAATATTGTTGTATCATCATGCTGTACGATAAGACAGCAAATGACAGCAGAAAAGTATTGCAAAAACTTCTACGGCAGACGCGCTTATGCCGATGTCTGTCCACAGCTATCAAGGAGGCAAAGAATCAAAAATATTCCCTGGTGTGACGAAAATTGCGTCATTAATGTGTATTTAACACTAGTTGTTCAGGGTGCCGAATAATGACATCAGTGGTTAAGGCCTCCAGAACTGGTTTCACTTAACGATGTGCTTTAACAATGAAAACATGTTATTTTTGCATCAACGGTGTCTCAGTTATCTTAGCTTTGAGTTCAATTGTTTTATAGTAGCAACAAGTCGCTACTTTAGAATTCAGTATGTTTATGAACTGATGAAATTAGATGTGTAGTCTTTTAAGCTTCTTCACACGTTATATGAAAACATAATAAGAAATAACACACAACTTAAACATTGGAGGTAATATTCACCGGAGTTCATCTGGATTCGTCATATTCTAAGATCTCATGAAATCATATGTCACAATATGCTACGTTACTAGAGTCCTTTATTCACCTGGCTGCTTTGATTAAGCCATTTGCCTTTTCGTGTTCAAAAATTGGTGCCCGGTGACAGATGATCTATTTATCATCTGCTTGACTGTTAACTCTGCATATTCACATCATTGGATCGTTTCCATTTGAAAGAAAATTGCATTGGACTTAAGTTTGTTCATAATTGGGAGAGCATCTCTGCAAACCTCCACGTGGTAATAAAACAAAAACACAGCCGAACATCTCATCAAAGTTTACAGATCACATGTTCAGGCGAACGCCCAGCTCCGCTAGCGCTATAGCTAGTTATGTTAACCTTAATTTAGTTAATGTAATGTTTGCGTTTGATGTAAAAGATGCAGTCCTGCGCGCCGCGTTCTCGTTTGTGATCGAGATCTATGAACCAACTATGTCGCAATGTGACTTCGGGGCAGTGCGCAAGAATGGCTGCTCTGTCGTCAGTCAGGTCAAACCAAGCACCACGCTGACGTTTTTCAGGGCATGTTTGATGCAGCAGTGTCTTCTGAATTTAGTATTTTGATATCGAGACGTGACGACAAAAAGCGTCATTGGTGTAGAAGTAGACTGCCGTTCGGTGCGCACAATCAACATGCATGCCTTGGTTTAATTGAACGAAAGCACGATGCCGGTATGTCAGATACCTTTGAGGGAAAGGTCAAGAGGCACCCTCGGAATTGCATTGATGACGGTGAATTGCATCATCGCAGGTATGATTCAACAAGTTCGGTGGCTGTAGTCAGTCGAGTATTGTCTCAAGCTGGTTAAAAACGCGTCATGTCAAGGAATACGGCAAAACCGTTATATGGGCCTCTGTATGCTATGAAAGATGGATTATTGTAAATCGTAGAATATTGTGTCACGACATAATTCCAGCTCCTAATCCGCCCAGCTATGTTCAGTAATACTGCCGAAAACACGTTTGCACAGGTTCAAGCTAACACAGGTCTGTAAAAAATAGTTATACAGGTTCATGAGCATACCAAACGAGCAATAGGCATCTATTGAAATGTGCGTACTATGACAGCATAATGCAAAACGCGTTCAAGTTCCGTAGTGAGCCGATTTATCGGCCACAGACTACAGCGTCTTATTTATGTTCTCTTGGTGCATAAGGTATGGCACACGTCGTCCTGTTTCTCGGAATCTACATCCGGGTGGAGCTCGGGGGCAAGGCACAACTTCTCAAGAACTATAATCCCGATGTGCTGTTCCATATGATGCTGAGCATTTCGGCAACCCTCATCATTTTTCACGCCCCAGGCGCCAAAATTTGCTATGACTGCGGCAACTGGAAAACAAGGTAAGGATACCTCAAAGTACTCTTAAGATATTCATAAGGAGTTCACATGACCTGATGTACATTCGGCACATTGGAGAAACCGAACGCACGCACCAATGCCAACAAATGCACCAATGAGCGTCCTCTACCGACAACTGTCCCGACGTGGTAGCGTGCTGACGAGCACGCCGCAGCCGCCGATCCTTGGCTGACAGAAGTGGACGGCTGCCCCAGAGACCGGTTCCACGCCTGCTTCCTCTTCTGGCTGATTGCTGCACTGCTCGTCTCGTTTGTTCCCGTTTCGGCTCTTATCCTGTGCGCCATCCACAAGGGGCTCATCGAGACGGCGTTCGTGGCCGGCTTCAACGAAGCAGCTGTCCGATACAAGGTACGGCGACGAAGAGCGGTCAATGATGACCGCTCAATCAATGCAATCAAAACAATGACCACGCCCACCGCTGCCGCTTGTGATGGATGCGTGGCAGCAGGGAGGGGGGGATCGGATGGCCGGGATTGGTGTTATGCGACTGCGTGGGCCCCCAGACCGGGGACGTCTGTAGCTAGGTGCGTGGGACAGGGAATCCAGGAGATAAAAAATCAGCCTTCTTTTTGGCTCCCTGGGGACTGTATCCCTCTCTTCAAGGCACTCCCCTGATGAAGTGCTCATACCACTACGTCAGATTACTTAACGTGGTGCGTCAAAGTGCTTATCCCTTGTCATCACCGGTGGCGCAAGTCGCGTGGCGTTATTTAGACATTTGAAATAGTTTTAACTGCTTAAAAGACGGCTATCCCATGCATGACATGTTGCTGATGTGAACCAATCCGACACACCTGGTTCAATGCCGGAATGAAATCCAGCTAGCACAATAACATGCTCGCGACAAAAACAGCAACCTTGGCAGTGCACGAGACGCGTGTAGGTTTCAACAATTGTCATATTGTCTGAGACTTTATGTTATATGATAACCCGCATTAATTATTTTGAATTTGGTTCGGCGTCTGATCACGCAAACTGTGGAGTTAGTGGCCCGTGGACTTGCAATTGCGCGGAACCTCCGACTCTTTTAGCAGCGTCGAACGCTCGCACGTGCCTGTGAACTTCAGTGTTCAATAAAACGTCAACAGCCCATTTGACATGTCAATAAGAATTGGGCTCGAGCTGCAATCGCCGACGGCCTACCCAGCAATGAACGATGTTTTACGGACTGTCACTGTCGGACAGCTCGATTTGGAGACGAAGGCCCAGCTGGACCGGCTGCAGGTAGGGCACCAGTGCTGCGGAGCTAAGGGATTCGATGACTGGACGCGCATCAGTTGGGTCAATATGGACGACGTCAAGCCCAGCAGAACGTTCACCAAAAGGTCAGCGACGGCCAAGTGCAGGCATTCAGCTGGAATGGTCGCGGCTTTGCCGGCGGTGGACTGTGGACGACTTCAGTCATCTTGAGAGTCGATATTTGATGGCTGGTCATGCAGCTTACTTGCCTTCCAGACACTGCGACAGCACGAACCTTGCTAACCTTCGTCAGATAAGGAGGCCTCATGGTCCCATCTCTGAAGTAGGTTTGGAAGACTCCTAAACCCCTAGAGTAAACCATTAACAGGATGATGCTAAATAAGAACAGAGTTTAAGGCATTTGCGATGTCTTGCTGTGTGCCTGAAATTATTTTTGTTACAGGCCGTGATTGATTGCCTCTTTTTTGGTCATGTGGTTCGGACTTCTCATTCAGGGCCACGATGGTTGATGACCACGGTTGATGATGATGATGGTTGATGACCACGGCGTTCATGGTTGAGTACACGTGGGTTTACCGACGGCGTCTTCTTTCCAAAGCACTTTCCTTTAATAACGTTCTTTATGTTACTGAGCTATCTTATGATCATTCCTTGATATGCCTGCTGATGCCATCGTACAAAATGCGGCTGTGCATCAACTCTTCCAAGGTGATGTTTAGTCACATTTGTTCAGCCCCACCCTATTTGAGTTGGTATTGGTCATATTAAGGATAGATAATGCATTTAAACGCCGCTCAGTATTGTTCGTGCGTCATGTTTTGTTCTCGAAATAGCTGCTGCGGGCCTCATGCACTAGTTTATGTGATCCTAATGACCCATAACCCAAGCTACCCTCTTGGCTTGATTTGACCTGTCACAGGTCACACCCTTTGATGGGTCAGCAGTTATATGAGTAATTTTCACGTTCCGCTAGAACATTTTAACCGCGCATTTTGAGAGACATTTGCCACCTTTTATTTGTTCCCTCCCACTCTCTTACATATATTCGGAATCAGTCAACTAACCGGTCTGATTCAAACGGTACAGAACACTCCCAGGCCGTCAGCACCAACACGTGCCTGGATAGCCCTGGGCAGGCGGGTGGTAGCCTTCGAATTGCTGCTGAAAACCGCAGACCCCCGGGTCGTTTCGTGCTGTCTGGAAATGTCTGCAGAGCAATCACGGAACAGTTGCCGCATTGCCAAGCAGTCTAACACGCTTGCTGGTGAGCCTGAAGAATGCACATATGCGCCTTTGTTCAGATATATGTAAAATCGATTCAATAACCCTGTACAGCAAGCACTGATCTCAGACTTTCCATCATGCTGCAGCTCATATCGAAATCCGGAAGGGGAGCTGATTTTTCCGTGGGCGCCTTGGAGCTGCTGCAATGCAAGCATTCTGATGGTCTGTGACACAATTTGGGAGTTCATTCCACACTCGAGCTCTGTCCGAGGACGAAGAAATGTGCGGGAAACAAGGGGAGATAGCATGCTAATAAGACAGCGGGCCAGCAGAGCAAATGAGGAAATGCATTTCACAAGGCATCAAACAGATGGCACGCTGCATCATGCCAGATATTCATCAGACCGAACAAGTGTTCGCGGCAAAAGAAAACGTAGGACACTGCCGTTAGAAGCATTAGAAACAGCGTCAATAAGGAATGCATATCCCGCTGCGAAAAAGATGACCTTTATTAGAGCGATGAACCGTGCGCGGAGCCGGAGAAGTCCAGATCGGGGAGTGAAAACGACAGATAAGAAAAAACTCCCCCAGGCACCAAAAAGGCGTAGGAAAAAGCCCCAAAGCCCGCGAAAGCGTACTCGAAGGCGTTTGCGAAGGGCTTCCGAAAGTTCAACCTCCACGGTATGAGCCTTCGCGGCCAGGGCCCCATCGGAGCAGCCAAAACTGACTCCCCGTTCGAGAGTAAGCTGGACGTGTTGTTGCCGAAGCTGAACCTGGAGGACGCCGTGGTCAAGCTGGACGGGTGGTACCGCCCGGCCAGGATGAGCCGGCAGGCTCTGCAGGAGAAGATCTTCCACCGCCAGGGCTGCGGCGTTGCCCTCTCCAAGACCGTCTTCTGGGTCATCGGCATGGGCATGACCACATTGCTCACCATATGGGTCTTTCAGGTACGGCTTTGCTCCACCACTCCGGACGAGCTCATCAAATGATTTTTAAGCGGACAAACGTACTTCTTATGTGAGCGGCATGAATGTACGGACTTCGTTTGATTATGTAGCTGCACGTATTCATCACTGGATACGAATAAAGATATTGAGCGAAGCACGCATGAAATGTATGCTTGGCGTTTGGCATACATGACATGCATGACTATGGCATACATGGCATGATGTGCCGATCTGATCGTTTGGCATGGCAAGCCAAGTCGATTCATGCAGCGTTGGTGCAACGTGGGCCGTGACGTTAAAAGGGGTATATTGCAGGATCAATTTGTGAACCTGCAACATAACCACTGCGTCCTGAGTGGCGAGCGAGAAGCGTGAAGATAACATCACAGCTTTCTTCTCCTTTGCAGCTCTCAATGTTATCGGTGATTAAACCATTCACCGTATTCATTGTGATGCTACGCTGAGCGTGTTGCACATGTGCTTGAATATTTTACGGTGGTTTATGCTTGCACGCAATGCATGCGGGCCTGGGGCATGACGACATTGATTTCAACGTCTTATAATACGCAGCGCCTAGCCCCACTTCTCCTTCGTCTGCTCATCACAAGTCATCGTCATACATTAAGACCACTGGAAACAGAACAATAATAGTTAAGTCTCGCGAGGGCTGAAAAGATTTAAATGGTTATTATGTTGATGCCTAACATATCTGACTCTGATGTTATGTCGGTCTAAGACAGAGTATTCAAACTGTTCAAGGAGCCACAGCAAAATACGTCATCACCATCCATTTGTATCATTACGCTTGATGCCGAATGACGCGTGCAAAGGAAAGCAGACGACTTCATTGATTGCTCTGGTAACGCATATCCCAGCATCGCTGGAGAGCTCTGGACGAGTAACGAAGCAGAACTGCGCAGCTAATGACTGCCGGCATACGGCCTAACTACCATCAGCTGGCGCCTGTATTGCATATGTATTCAACGTATTTTACGCGCCGGGAATGTTTTCCACTCAGCTCATCATGCTTATGATGGCAAGATGGCTCCAAACATCAATGGACTTGGCCTACAACTGGGGAAATCCGAAAATGATGGCACCGGGGTACATCATGAAGAAGTGGCCGTGCTCAAGCGGCCCAGCTCCAGACATTGAGCCTCCGGTAAGACAGAGGCTTGTTGCCCTTGGCATTAGCGTCCCACTGAGGATCCAGTGAGTTTATACTGGCTTCTGCTTCTCCACTCGGCGTTCATTTAGCGAGGGCCAGTTCGAGACAAAATACGAAATGCGCTATTCACGCACAGGCTTGCCAACGTTGAACCTTGGGTGCGGTCTTGCGATTATTCTCGCAAGTAGGTTTCCAGGTTTGAGAACGCGCCTAGAGCTTTGCTCAACAACTCTTGTGATGTCCGCGCAGGATGCCGCATTCTACGAAGAGGAACTGGAGCAATCCAGCGAGGACGAGGAAGAGGAGGGAGGCCGCCCGCGAAGAGAGCGCCGGTCGCGTGGGTCGTCTTCGCCGTCCTGGACTGATGATGACGACGGCGGAGACGACGACTTCTCGGAGACGGATGACAAGCACTGGTTACGGCGAGGACTCGTCAGGATTTGGCGACTTTGCCAGTGCCTTCGGCGGTATGGGTGGGAGGAGGGGAGAGGAGGGGGAGGGGGAGGAGGAGGAAATCGTGGCGGTGGGGGCGACGATGATGGTGGGGGATGATGGCGGCAGTGATGATGGAAGAAAAGAAAAACATAAGAAAAAGAAAGATAAGGTTGGCAAGGAAAAGAAAAGCAAAGGCGACAAGGAGGACAAGAAGAGCAAGAAGAAGAAGAAAAAGAAGAAGGCATAAGGAAGAAAAGAAGAGTAAAGAAAGAAGAAAGACAGAAGTAAGAAAGAAGGGAGGAAAGAAGAAAAAGAAGAAAAAGAAGGACAAGAAAGGAAAGAAAACTAAGAAGAAGGGGAAGAAAGAGAAGAAACAAAGAAAGGGAAGAAGAAGAAGAAGAAAGGCAAGAAAAGAAAAAAAGGCTAAAAGAAAGAAAAGGAGCAAAGGTCTAAAAAGAAGTCAAAGAAGGGAAGAAAGAAGAAGGGTTAAAAAGCGAAAGAAGAAGTAGACTTCTATGTGGTCGTTTTTATTGCTTACGAATATGTCAGTTGTCAATGTTCGATATTGCCTGTTGTCAATATAAGGTGACCTGCTTTATGCCCTTCGTTTCATTAGAAGCAAGTACCAAACGATGCAAACAAGGCAAAAAGTTTACATGAATATTACGACGATAGCCGAACTGAGCAAACCAAACTCATCGATGGTCCGGACTGAATCTGAGCATGATGTTCTGAAAATTGTTCGCTACAAGTCAGAGCATAGAGTACAGCTTTGTACTGAATAACATGCAGTAAAGAGCTGCAAGCCATGCCACACTGTTACTGAGCACCACAGTCCCCGCCTGTATAAGGAACTCGGAACGCTCGATCAATGTCATGATGTGCACTATTGTGCCAGACACGGACGCCTGAAAGGATTTATAGGTTGCCGCGATGCTTCAACTTTTGAAGCATGAGGATGCAAGGTGTACGGCGGCACAGCTTGCGTTCCACCTGGTGCAAGGTGGGACAGGCGCATGGTCATGCTCATAAAACGCAGCGCCTTTGTAGGGCGTTCAACAGCTACTCATGACCGGGGAGAATGCGTAAACGCATGGGCCATGTGTGCCACGAGTGAACCATGCGACTGCGTAGCGAACGTACTAGGATCTATCCTCATTCAAAATGCGAATTGACCATCTCATTGGTCTCCACCCGGCCATCCGCATGCCAGTGGGAAGGGGTCCTTGTAACCCTTTTAATTCTGATTTTCCTCATCCCAATGACATGGCATTTGGTATACGGAATTCCTGGATGTTAAACTGCTCGTACTGCAAATCTTCAGAGGGTTGCTGTCATGAAATGAGCACGCGCCCGGGTGGCCGGCTAAATGCCCTCCGCTCGGGCGCGGGGTCAATTTAACCCCTCCTGAGATCTCGGGAATTAAGAAAGCTAGAGACACCAAATTTACAGGGTGTGTTGACCTGCGCGTGAACTGAGTTAGGTCAAAGTTTGAGCTCCCTAGGTCATGACCTTCGGGTCAAATAAAGTAAACCAAGGTCAAACTCCAGGCTGGTTTCCAACCAAAGTGCCCCCAGAACCTGGATAACTGTTTCTAAGCAAAATGTCACAAGCTCATTCAAGGTCAGTGACCTTGTTTGATCTTTTGAAGGTTTTGGTGACCACAGTCATACAAAGCTGCTCTGAGCCTTGGATTTGAAAAAGCAACAAAGATTACACCAGGTAGTAAGTTCATAACATCAAAATGTCGACCTGGGCCATCTTAGCTCAGTAACCTATTCTGACCTCTAACGAGTCAATGGAAGATGCATAATGCGGTTCGTGCTATCAATAAATTCGAAATGAGCACCAGAAACGATCCCATACAGCAAGCCCTAGAGTGATAAAACAGGTTGATTTTGACCTTGGTTTGACCTTTATACTTGACCTTAAGTCAACTTAATTTGCTCATTCAATATTTGTACTGCCTAGGAAAGCATCTAATTGACATATGGCTTCGTATAACATTGCGTTGCTGCATCAGATTGAACGATTCCCTGGAAAATGTATTCGCTGAAACCATGGCCTGATCTTGACCTGCCTTAGGTCAGCGACCTTAAAAGGTACATATAAATGTCTTATACCAAACGATCCGCTGTTAAATTGTTTAAAGCAAAATTTGGCGCGGCTACGCAGCGCCATTCAGAAACCATTCTGGAAAAACCTTCGAGGGGGTGGTCAGTTTGACCCCCGCCCGAGCGCGTGTTAACGTCAGATTTGACTATGATTTAGGACGCAAGAGTTTAGGTTCATTATTTTGCTCTGGTGGGTGGTACTTTGAATTATACAAATGCTGGTAGCCAACCAGATGCAGGGAGGTTAGTTTACCTCCGAAGTGTTAAGCTTTGCATGCATGTTATGCACAGGGTGGAAGAAAATGACAAATACGCTAATAACGCGCGACCCTTTATTCAATTTGACATCGAATAGCGACATTTGGTGTAGCACTATGTAGACTGCGAATCAGGCCTACACACGCCACCCATGGTGATCTACTGCGTGGAGCTGACAGACCTCCTGCCACTGATGTTACGCGGTTCTCGCTGTCCGGTATGTGATTTAATCGTGTCCGCGCCTCGTCGAAGAACGTCGATGTAACTTTAGGCAGCAGCCTTCATCAGTGACGATCAGCGATGAAGTATGCGCTGCTCTGAATCGGTGCGCGAATGCCACATCAGTAGATCAAACAGGAGACGGTAGTGTCGGTTAACTATGTCTTGACTGCGCCACGACGCGTGTGACGTCAGCGTTGAACTACGCCCCGTGTCGGTCTCAAAGCTAAATATGCGCATATGGTGGCTTCATTTCAAGCCCATTCGCGTTCAAGTACGATGTGTTAACGATGTGCATCTCACTCTGGGTTTGGAAAATAATGGGTAAACTACGTTGAGGCCCAACCGTATGCGGGGTGGGCGAACCGTGTGCGGTGAAGCCCAACCGTACGCGGGGTAGGCGAACCGTATGCGGGGTGGCCGAACCGTATGCGGGGTGGGCGAACCGTGTGGGGTGAAGCCCAACCGTGCGCGGGGTAGGTGAACCGTATGCGGGGTGGGCGAACCGTGTGCAGTGAAGCCGAACCGTACGCGGGGTAGGCGAACCGTATGCGGGGTGGCCGAACCGTATGCGGGGTGGGCGAACCAATCGCCAGCTTTGTTTTACATAGCATAGTTTTGCCGGCGCATCACCATCAGTTCTATTGACGCATGCGTTTGAATTCCAACGTAATCAGAAATCCATCGCAGGATCACACAAGTGTCACCGCATCAAGTTACAGGCTAGCGTGGATTTCACGACCCGCTCAGGGTCGTTTACTCTGTTGGGCGACCAAGCAATATTCAGTGGCATTGGCCTTCGCTTGGTATCTCCATGAATCATTTAGCTGTTTAAGTAATGGACAGTTGATATAAATGCGAGATCATGAAAAGCCCTGAGCAGCATAGCAGGTGCTTCCCGCAGGTCAGAGTTACTCTGCTATTAAACGCCTCGAAAGGGGCGGTTAATCTTGACGACCTCCATAACTCTTGGGCTTTAGGGCAACGTCAAACGGTAATTTGGTAGCTCCAGCTAGAAGCAGATTCGTGGTAGCGTGCTCAAAATCCGTCAGATTGACCCTAAACCAGTTATCAGCACCCTTCGACGGGTATTGATTAGAGCCCACTGCCAACGGAACAGTTTCTGGGCCGCCTGCTATGGCCACAAATGTCGTTAAATAAAACGACGAAGTAGATCGTTTCATTTGAGTGTGTTTTACGAGGAGCTAGTGTGCATTGTGATGTAGCTAACCAGGCTTGTTGCCCAGTTCTTGCGTTCCTTGTCTTTGCATTTACTTGAGTCAGACACTAAGATGCTTGCGTAAGGTTGTAGTCAAGGTCTGCTTGCGTCCGAGATCCGTTGAACGAACTACAGATATTATTTTGTGTGGCTTCTTTGCAATTTGCATTTGTGCATGTTCAAGTGTTCGCAGCATCCTTCAGAATTTCACCAACGGGGCATCCAAGTCGGGTAGGATGCGTAACATCCAGTCAACATTAGCTGAAGTGCTTCAATGAGCCGGTTTGTCATAGTATTATTGCGGTTCTTGCCTTGATCACCGACAGGCTGCTAAGTGCATGCACTGCAGCAAGCATTTCGCTATGCCACTTGGATGCATTTGTTCCGTTAGTTGCCAGAATCTGACTTTGATGTCATCCAAACTTAATACAAGTGGACTTAATGCATATTGAGGTTTGCCTAGCAGATGCTCCGATTTAGGCCCGAGTCACCGGATCAGCTAAAAACGGTGGTGGGGCTGGGACTTTTTCCAGTTGGGGCATTTAATCTCGCGGGACCCTACAATGGCGATGGGCCCCATTAGGACCGATCGGATCCATGCCCCATTGTTTATGTTCTATCCAATTTCTAACGTCACAAGACCTCTCAAAGCAAATATCAATTTGGAAAGAATAACTGCGATCAAAAAGAA